AGCAAGATACTCTCAAAAAGGGACTAAAAGGGCCAAGATGTAGCACATGGTGAGGTACACTGGGTTCTATTCCTAGTAAAACACACACACGCACACAGAGCATGGTAGCTAGGCATGGTGACATGTGCTTTTAACCATAGCATTCTAAGTGGCTAAGGCAGAAGAATCAGAAACTCAAGCCAAGCATGGACAATTTAGTAACCTACTAAGATCCTATCTAAAAAATAAAAAGACTGAACATATAGTTCAGTGTAAAAGCCCTGAGTTTAGTCCCCAGTAACACACACACACACACACACACACACACACACACACACACGGTACTGGAGTACAAATTGATATGTAAACCAATTGAATAGAATGGAAGACCTGGAATAAACCCATGTATGTACAACCTTTGATTCTTGACAAAAAACCCAAAAACATGCAAAGGCAAAAGAGAGTTTCTTTAAAAATAGTGGTGAAAAAACTGGATATCCACCCATAGAAGAATGAAACTAGAGCTCTCTCATTTTGTACAAAAATTAGCTTAGAATGTTAAAACTATTAAAGGAAAACAGGGGAAATACTTCAAGATACTGGTATATGCAATAATTTCTTTAATAGGATTTCAATAGCTCAGAAAATAATAGCAGGAACTGACAAATAAATTGTTACCAGGGATCTGCCCAAACACCTCATTTTGGGCACTGATGGTCTGGATTTGTTTTGCCCATCCACCATATGAAAAGACTGACAAAGAGAAAGGAAAAATGGGCTTTGTGAAAACTGTGACAAATTGGGAGGAAAGACAGCAAGGGTTTTGCTAGGTGCCCAGGCTGACCTCAAACTTGGTCTCTTCCTTCCGTGGGCTCCTGATTAGCTGGGATTACATAATCCATATCTTTAGTAATTCTTCTTTTTTTAGTATTTTTTATTTTTATTTATTATTTATTCATTCATTTTGTGTGTGTGGCCAGCTCAGCCCACCAGGGGGCGTGGCTGGCTGGCATGTGGTGCTGGGGGATTGAACCGGGGTCCCTGTGCTTTGCTTAGCTTATTTTGTTCTAAGTAGGTGCTTTAGACCACTGAGCCATCTCACCAGCCCCAGTAATTCTTCTTTATGTCATTTGTTAATTCTATTTATAAAGTCTTTGTTTTTGTCTTTTGTCACAATATATATCTTTAATACATTGCCTTGTACATTTGTGCAATATAATACCACTTGATGTATAGTTTCAGAGCCTTACAGTAGTACACATCTATTTCTTTCTCCACCCTTGTCTTTTTGTTGTCACACATTTTATTTCTACATAAATGTATGAGCTACACCAAACACCATTGTTTTGTTTAAACAATTGTCTTTGAAAGTGATTAAAATAATAAAACCAATTTTGGGGCTGAGACTACAATTCAAAAGTACATCACTTGATTAGGATGCATAAGGCTTTTGGTACAGTCCCTAACATCAAAAACAAAATCTCTGTATCTGTTCATGTATTAACATTTCCAGTTCTTTTATTTGAACGTATAATCCCTTTAATTTGGTACCATTTCGTTTTTGCCAAGATTAACTTTTTATAGGCAAATCCCTTGGTGTTTTATATCAGCTTTGTATATTTCCAAACAGTATTTTGTTTTGTTTTGTTTTTTAGAGACAGAGTCTCACTATGTTCAGGCTGGCCTTGGATTAGCAGTTTCCTATCCCAGCATCCCAAGTACCAGGATTACAGCCATGTACCACAGCCGTTGGGCCTAAAAAATTTTATTTCATTTCACCTCTTGAAATTTATTTACCCTGAATTAAGAACTCCAGGTTGTAACTTAATTTTTTCCTTCTTGGGAATTAAAAAATGTTTCACTGTTTTCTACATTGCCTTGTTACTATGTAGCAATCTGCTACTGTTGTCTTTGTATCCAGATACACTGAATCTTTTTATCTTCAGCACAATGTGAATAAGCTGAAGCTTGGCATTGCTTTCATGTATTTTGTGCATGGTGTTCATTGATCCATGAGTTTATAGTTTTCTTCAAATGGATAAAAGTTTCAGCTATATTTTTTCAATTTTATGTGCATTCCTCTCATCTCACTAAAGGATTACAATTATATTTGTATTTAGTCACTTCAAGTTTTCACATAGTTCACTGATACTGTTTATTTTTAAATGTTTTACATTCTTCATTTTGGATAGCATCTACTGTAGTATCTTTGACTCACTAATATTTTCATCTCTAATGTCTAATATGCCTTTAACTTTATCTAGTGTTCAAGCCATTATGATATTCATCTTTCAACATAGGGTTCTCAACGTATAGAAGAGGAATAGATGCTATCAAAAATAAAGGAGAGAATGAATTTTCCTTTTAGGAATTATTTTCATCAAGGCGTTTTCATTGTTTTGTGGTGCTGGAGCTTACAATCACAGCTTTGACTGTTCTGGGCAAGTGCTGGGCTGCTGTGCTACACCCCCAATCTTCCAGGTTCTTAAATAGGATAGTATTAGCTGTAAAGTACTTGTTAAATCTTGATAAGAATGACCTATTCCCAAAAGTTTTTGATGGCACAGGTATTAATATTCCTTCTTCATGCTCTTTTTTAATATTCTGAGACCGAACCCAAGGCCTTGTATATGCTAGGCAAGTGCTCCACCAGCCCCAATTTTTTTCTTAAAACAGGGAACTCACATTACATTTGTTAGTCTATATTTTGGTTCCATAGTATCAAGTCAATTGTGATAACATGTGCTTACAAATAATGTAATCCATTTATATTTTACATGTATTAGAATGAACATATATATATGCATTGTGGAACATACAGTATTAATATGTAATTTTTAAAAAATTTTGATAATCTATTGCAAGTTCAAGATCAGCCTGGGCTACAAAGTGAGCTCAAGGCCAGCCTGAACTGCATAGTGAGACCCTGTCTCAAAAAGACAAAAAGCAACACAAAGCACAAACAAACAAAACAAATCCTTGATAATGTGTAGTTGTGCCGCCATTATCATTCTTTTTTTACTTTTTTTTTTTTTTTTTTTTGTCCAGTGACCTCTGAATTTTTATTTGCTCACTATTTCCCAAGGGCACTCCACTCCTGTTGCTTCAGTGTCTCAACACTTTGGTGTCATTGGTCTCAGACACTGATTTTTCTGTCCACTATTTTCTGGATAGTGGTTGTCTGGGTGGTTTGCACCGAGGAGCTGCTGCTGTCCAGGGCATCGCCAAGATTGAAATCCTCCCCATCTTCCTGCAGGTGGCGGTAGGTGACATCTCAGCCTCCAGCTTGACCTTGATGTCCAGCAGGGCCTCATACTCCTGGACCTGGCACTGCCCCTCTGTTCGAGTCTGTGACAGCTCAGACTCTAGGTGCAGCAGGACCCTACTGAGTTGCTCCATCTGCATAGCATAGCGGGCCTCCACGTCTCTCAGGCCGTTCTTCAGGCCAATCTTCATATTTCTCATGGACTCCAGGTTAACCTCCAAGGACTGGGCCATGCACTCCAGCTCTGTGAGTGTTATCTCAGCAGCTCCAACCTCAGCAGACTGCTAGGTGACTACTGTGGTGCTCTCCTCAATCTGCTGGGACCAGTACTTGTCCAGCTCTTCTCGGTTCTGAGCCAGCGCGTCGTACTGGACCCTGATGTCCACCATGATCTTGCCGAGGTCCTGATATTTGGGTGCATCCACCTCCACAGTCAACCCAGAGCCGTCAATCTGAGTTTGAAGGCCTCTGACTTCCTCCTCATGGTTCTTCTTCATGAATATCAGCTCCCCATTCTGAGTCTCAATTTCCGTCTCCAGCTGCAGCTGAGTTATATTGGTGTTGTTGATGACCTTGTGAAGTCGGTGTATGTCATTCTCCACAGACTGACACGTGGCCAGCTCTGTCTCATACTGGACTCTAAAGTCGTCAGCAGCAAGACAAGCATTGCCAATCTGCAGGATGATGCGGGCATTGTCCACAGAATTTGCAAAGAATTTGCCTTCAGTTCCTCGATGGTCTTGAAGTAATGGCCCCAGTCTGTGACCAGGGACTACTATTTCTCCAGATGCTCCTGGATCTTGCTTTCCAGCCTCCAATTTTCCATCTCCAGGCTCCTCATTCTCTCCAGGTAGGAGGCCAGGCGGTCGTTTAGGCCCTGCATGGTCTCCTTCTCAGTCTGAATGCTGCACATGCGGGCCAGACCCCCGGCCACTCCCGCGGGCAGGCCTGCGGACACCATGTCGCCCCAGAGGATGGTGGAGCGAGACATGCAGACCCAGGGGCCCAGGCCCCCGGCGCCGGCATAGACACTGGCAGCACAGCTGGCCAGCCCGACCTGTTGACTGGGGGGCCCAAACCAAGCCCGGGGACCAGTAGTTGGTGGAGAAGGTGTTGAAGTGGGTGGTGACATTCATCTTGCCTGGAAAGGAAAGCGAGAGACCAGGACTCAAGTTCAGGTCACCTTTTTTATTCTTTTTTTTTTTTTTTTTTTTTGCGGAACCGGGGATTGAACTCAGGCCCTTGCGCTTGACAGTGAAGCGCTTATTTCACTGAGCCATCTCCCCAGACCCCCACCTTTTTTATTCTAAAAGGAAAAAAAAATCATATAAAATTTCAAAACAAGATAATAGGAGGGTAACAGTGATTAATACTTACATACTATTATCTTTAAATTAACTACTTTGGGTACAAGATATAGGTATTTAATTGTCCAAACCATATTAGCACAAACTTTCTTTTCACTTAACTAAGAGAAATTAGTATTAAAACTATCTTAACTGTCCTGTATACATATACAATTATTTTTGCCACTCTCTTTTCTCCTTTCCCTCATGCCAGTTTCTCTTTCCCTTTTTTATTTTTAAGAGAATAGAAAAATAATAGATGACATTAGAAAGGATACACAATTAAAACAAAAACATGATAGGTATTCAACAGTGCATTAACATTATGCATTGTTGTCCTTAATGTAGTTGCTTAGATTACCAGATATAAGCATGTAAAAGTAGCCAAAGTAAAAATATTAAGCATTAACAAAAATACGGAATGTTTCATGAATTTGGATGTCATCCTTGCACAAGGGCCATGCTACTCTTTTCTATATTGTTCCAATTTTAGTATATTTGCTGCCAAAGGGAGCACTCTTTCCTTTGAAAGTATCTTCCTAATTTACAATATCTGTTGTACACTTTGAATCTTATTTACTCTTTCAGCTTCTCAGTCAAGGGAGACGATAGAATGCACATGTGCCTCTGGTTTATTTCACTTTTGTGTATGGTCTTGAGGTGCATCCATTTACCTATAAAAGTCTCTGGTTTATCCTTCTTTAGGGCTGAGTAGTACTCCATTCTATAAAACAATCACACCATTTTATCCATTTTTTGGATGGGTATTGGGTTGTCTCTAAGATCTATTATAAATTATGTTGCTATAAATATGGGTGCACATATATCACTATGGTACAACGTTTTTAATCCTAGTAAGATATGTAGCAGGGAAATAGCTGGGTCAAATAGGACTTCCAATCCTAGTTTTTGAGAATTTCCACACTGATTTCCAAGGCTGTGGTTGCACCAGTCTACTTTCCCACAAACAGTGGAGAAGGGTTCCTTCTTTCTCACAGCCCCACCAGCATTTGTTAATGGTTGATTTCTTGGTAATAGCCATTCTTTCCATGAGATAGAATCTCAGCATTGGTTTAATTTATATCTTTCAGATGAGGGCAAATATTTCAGAACTGCCTGTTGCAGCACACATACTATAGATTTGCCATTGGTCTAGTCCCTTAATTTCTCCTGATTGTATTTGGTTTCTCTTCTTTGTGCCATCATTTTATTTTTTCTTTTATTTTTGTACCAAGAACTGAACTCAGAGCCTTGCACTTACTGGGCAGGTATTGTCCCACTGAGCTACATCCCAGGTTGTTTCTTCCTTTTTTTTTTTTTTAATATTAAAGAGGAAAAACACAAACAAAAACTAGAATAACAAGAACAAAAACAGCTATTTCTTGTCATAAATGCTTATTCATTCCTTCAATACATTAAATTCATCTATATGACAGGCACTGTACTGGTTGCTATGGAGAGTGAAGACAATGAAGGTTAGGCCCACAGATAAAATATCCTTAGTACATTGTCATTATTTTCTTCACTGAATAGAACTTTGGTGACATTTCACAAGGTCACATATACAGACATCACATTATCATTAATTTCTAAAGAATTTAGAGGTTAAAGGTGTTGTTTAGTGGATACTCAGCTTGCATGATGTCCCAGGTTTGGTCTCCAACACCAAAATAAAAAACCCAAAAGAAAGGAAATGCATTTTAACTGAGCATGGTGGCACATGCCTATAATCGCAACATTCAAGGCTGAGGCAAGAGGATCCCAAGTTTCAGCCTAGCCTGCACAACGTAGTGACGTGGGGTTCGGGGGCTGAGGATGTAGCTTAGTGTGAAACCTCTGGGTTCAATCCTCAGTACTGCAAAATAATTAAATACACAGCTTATACTTTGTTTTGACTTGAACATTTTATTATTGAAATTTCAAATATACAAAAGTAGAAATATTAGAACAGTGAACCACTATGAAAATGTTTACTTTAGTAATTACTAACATTAACAACCTAGTTTCCATCTTTCTTTGTTAACTCATTTTCTAGTGCTAGACTATTTCAATGTGTCTGAATATCTTATTTAACAATAACCAATACGTATTAACTCTACCACTTAGGATACTTTATTTTTCATAGCCATATTGTATTATTGTCCCCAACAGAATTAGTATTTTGAAA